GGCAGCTGGGCACCCCGACCCCAGCCCCAGCCTGGGAAAGCCCCGGCATTCCCTCCTGAGCCACCAAGACCTCTCTGTTTAATGGATACATTTGCAGGAGAAGTGATTATGGATCCCGACGCAGACGGCAGTTGCTGCCGAGTTTATTGCAAGAGATTAATTCCGGGGTTTAATTGAAACGGCAGGAGGGGAAAGCACCAGTCTGGGGCTGGGAGGAGAAGGGTCAGCTGTGCTCAGCTGCACCCGCAACCCCTGGCAATCAGTGAAACCCGAACGAGCAGATTTCCTCCTCAGAGGGCTCCTGAGCAGCACACGCAGCATCCTGGAGCCCCAAGTCTCCTAGCAACTCTCTGCCCACCCATTAACCCCTTCCCCGGAGCATCCCCCCCTTTGCCACAGCCCATCCCGCCGCTTCCAAGGCATCGCTGCTCCACTGGGCACCAGCAGGGATGTTTGTTTTTTCAGCAAATCGACCTGCAAGCAGCCCTGCAGGGTGCTGGGGTGCTCGGCCAGGAGGGGGAGCCGAGCCGGGCTGGTTAGACAAGACCTGGAGTTTTTTTATTCCGGGGGACACAGAGAAATCCTCAGGTTTATGTCTTGATGGCAGAGGTTGAGTTTCTAAATGTCACAGTAGTTTGGAAGGTTTCACCCTCCTGACATGCTGGTAAAAGGTCAGGGAAAGCCCAAATCAGCCTCAGGAGAGGCAGAGCACAAGCCAGGCACTTCTTCCCATTTCAATATTAAATCAATTTTACCGTTGCTTTGGGAAGTAGATGAAGGCACTAAAGTCACTCTCCTACCCTCCCTGCAAATGAAAATGTCCTTAAAAGTGTAAGATCCCAGCAGGACACGGTGTGATGCCCAGGTCTGGGTTGGAGGGTGTGGAGCTGCTCTGTGATCTCTGTTCTTTGGGTTCACATTTCCACATATTTCCCTGGGTTTTGCTTTTCGAGGTCAACAGGCTTGAAACAAGGATTGGAAAAAAATAGTGGTTTCTTGGTTGAAAAATAACAGTTGACATGAAAAAAACAAACAGAAAAACAAAACAAACCAAAAAACCAAAACCAAACAACAAATCCAGTCCTTTTTTTTTTTTTTTAAGCTGTGTTAATATTTATGGGCTGGGAAATATGTCCAAAGATCATGTGCCACAGAGAAGGATAAATCACTTCTCTTACTTTTATGTGTTTTGTTGGGCTCTATCTGAAGTGTAGTCATAAAATTACCAAATTGAAATTTTAAATGGGGAGGGGAGAGGGAAGAGAGGGGGAGGGAGGGACTATCTGGAGGGTTTGTTGCTGCTTTTATTTTCTTACTGCCAAATAAAATACAATTAAAGCAACATTTTAGATGCCAGCCAGCACAGCTAACATGGGTTTTCTGACGGCACTTTTTTCCTGTCAGCCAATGAAAATAAATGCTGCAGGATTAGCAGAAAGCATCCAGGCTTCGTGGCTGGAGGGGGATAAGGAGCAGCAGGCATCTGAGTATGAAACAGAGGGATTTTAGTCCTGCTCTAAGTGGAATTCTCCAGGGAAGTTCCCCGCAGAGCTCTGCTGCCGCCTGGAGCCACACTTTGCCTTTGCTGCCCTCCCAGTGCTTCCAGTTCCCACCAGTCCCTGGCACAGCCGCTGGTTTTTTTAGGGGAGGGGGTGTGTGACAAATTCCCTCCCCTTAGGGTGGCCAGCATGGGTCTGGTCCCCCGTGGGGCTCAATCCGGTGCCAGCAGCTCAGCTCCTGACTGCACCAAAATCCCCGTGGTAATTGGATGAGGGCACTGGTTTCCCTGAGGAATATTAAATCAGATCCAGGGCGACACGCTTGGGAATATAAAGACACGGTAGATCCCATTATGAGTTGGGGTGTGGTGTGTGTATGGTTATTTCTCCTGCTTTCAAGTCAAAGGTATCACAACAACTTTTTGTTTGTCATGGAGCCCATTGGACCATCTCTTGTTGATGGGAGGGAGAGGAAGGGGAGGAGGTTGTTGCTGTGGAGGGGCTGAGCACTTGCAGCTCATCACAGCCACGGGCTCTCAGCTGCTTTTCCAAAGCCCCCTGAGAGCCCGTGGCTGTGACGAGCTGCAAGTGCTCAGCACCTCTCAGGCAAGAGCCCAGAGAGTGATTGCCACCACAGACTGTTGTTGCAGCACTGATGAAGGTGACCCAGCATTGCAAAGGCCCTAGAGGTTTTGTGGGTTGGTGTCACCATCACCAGCTTGCTCCCATCTCCCTGTGGGACCAGTATAGGGAGTCACTTAGGAAATGAGGGGGCTCAGAGCCTTCCCAGTTATTGGTTTAGCTGGGACTGCAGTTAGGGTGACCATCTGGTGGCATCTGCTGCTGCTCAGCTGTCACCCACCCTCCTAGGGGGGTGGATGGGGTACCCAGGGGACATGCCCAGCAGAGGGTCAGGGGCAGCCATGCCAAGCACACCCCATGGCTCTTGCCATGGTGGAGACAGATTGATGGAGGGATGGATGGACAGATGGATCAACATCTCCCCACCCACAGCAGGGAGGCAGGGGAGGACAGACAGACCGATGAGCCAATGAGGTGGCCTCAGGTGATGCTAACAAGCCCATTAAGGGGCTTTATCAAGGGGCTGGTGGGAAGGCTGCCAGTTTTCTCTGAGATGTTGCTTTTGGGCTGGGAGAGCCTAAGCTCCTGCTCATTAATTAGAAAGGCTTTGAGGAGGTTTGTACTGGTTGGCCTCACTTGTGAGCAGCCCTAATATGATGAGTGATTAGGGACTCGAGCTTTTTAGCAGGTGTCATTAAGCTACTGATGAGCTCAGGCAGGGAAAGGGCCTTTTTGGCTGTGCCTGAAACCTGCTGGTCCTGTGCTGACCCAGCTCTTCCTCCTATAATGGTCCTTGACCTCCTGAGCCCTGAGGAGATGGGTGAAGCAAGTGCCCTGGGGACAATGGTGGCTCAGCTGTCACCCCGTGGCTTTGAGCTGGATGAGATCTGATGTTCTTCAGCTCATCTGTGAGATGATGAGCTTGTGGTCATGGATGAATGAAGATGGGATGTTCCTATTTTCAGTGTCTGCCAGGTATGGAGAAAATTTGGGGATGATTAGCTCTAAAAAAGTGGCTTCCAGGCTCCTTGCACACTGGGGAGAGGACAGTGATGGCTGCCCTGGGTATTGCTCCAGCAGCATTTTGTCTCCAGAGAGTTTGTTCCCTGCTTATGATTTTTCCTCACTTGTCTGAGCACTGATGGTGAAGACCTCTTGCTCAGGGGACACCCTCTCGAGGGGCAACATCCTTATCCCAGCCACCTCTCAGTGCCCTGAAGCCCCCAAGGGCTGGGACTAGGCAGGGAGCCAAGGCTGCTGGATTATTTTTTTCCTGCTCCCTCTCATCTTTTGCCTGCCTTGGCAAAACTTCCTGCAGCTCGGCAGCCTCCTGCCCCGCCGCGGTCTGCCTGGCACGGCTGCTGCTGTATTTACAGCAGTGTTAATTAAATCCTTTCTGCAATCAGTGCTGCACATGACCCCACTCCCCGAGCCAGGGCTGGGCTGTAATGTGCCATCACAGAGCGGGAACATGACTGCAGCCATCCCGGGGAAGCTCTAATAGAGATTTACTCATCCCACGCTTCCCATTTCTCTGGTTCATGACATTTTGCAAAAGTTCAGGTTTACAAAATAAGCCGACGTGCAGCAGAGATGCTCTGGGCGTTATTTACGTTGCACGTGTCGTGTCCCACTCCAGGAGGGTCTTCACCCCGTGGTGAGCAGAACTGAGGGCTGGGGGGGGGAGGTTTGAGGGGAGGCAGGTGCCTTCTCCTGGGCTGGCCCCCTCTGCCCAAGGGGCTGCTGCTTTTGGGGAGGGTCGACCCATGACCCTGCCACAAAGCCCTCGGGGCTGGAGATCTCTGGGAGAGGGGCTGGGGGCTGGGGCTGTGCCCTTTGTCATGAGGATGGGATCGTGTGGCTGAACCTGCCTCCAACTCCTGCTCCAGTCCCCAAGGGAGGGATGAGGTGGGGGCAGGTACAGCCCCTGCCCCTAGAGGCCAGGCAGGGCACAAAGGTGGAGCTGCTGCCATTCCAGGGGGGTAATTTGGGATGCTCAGCAGCTTAGCTTTTAAAAATAAGCCTGGGCTAACAGCTGGGGGGTGTGGGTGCAGAGGCAGCGGGTGCCAGCAGGATCCCCTCAGTGTGTGACAGCCTCCCAGGGCCTTGGCTACAGGGAGAAAAACCTGTTTTGGCAAATCACTGGTGCCAGGAGTTGCCTGCCCCAGGAGGGTGAGGCAGTGTGTGTGCCAAAACCTGGGGAGCAGGGAGGTGGGGTCCATCCCATCAGGGGGCAGTCAGCCCAGGGGCTTCTCCCTGCTGGCAGGGAGATGCTCTGGCACAACGTGGTGCTTGGTTCCTCTCTGACCTGTTCCTGTTCAACCCTTCCCCAGCTTGTTGTGGGCTTTGGTGGTGGGATCTGGGGCAAGCTATCAAGCTGGGTGACCAAACCTCCCTCTTCTGCTCTTCCTCAGGGTGGAGCTGGCCAATAGAGGCTTCATCTTACCCAGTGCTACAGCAAGGGCAGCTCATCCCATCTGGGGAAGGTTCAGCTGGAAACCAAGTGTGCACACCTCACAGTGCTGGCCCAGGGTGCAGCCAGAGCTGGGGGCACCAACCCAACTCCCATCTTCATCCTCATGGGTGGTGGAGGCAGGTAAGTGGGTGGTAGCACCTGGTCCCATGCCCTGTCAAAACCTGGCCATGCTGCTGGTTTGGATGTGGGCTGTGGGAGATGGGGGCTGTGGGCTCTGGCACACCTCTCCCACCCCACGCCTGCCTTGTCAGGTTTGATCAGGAGGAGGATCAGTCGGCCCTTTCACTCTCTCTCCAGATTTAATTAACAGGCCTTTCATCTCTACCCTGAAGGAATCTGCTATCTTCTGTCTTCTTAATTAATGTTCATTAAGCAAATCAGAATAACGTTTTCTCCTCACCGCCTCCACAGCTCTTAACCCTTGTGGGGTGCCAGGTCCATACCAGGGCAAGAGAAGACTCCTGGGCTGTGCTGGCAGGTTGGGATGTCATCACAGCCTTGGTCACCATGTCTCCACTGAGACCTCTCTGGGCTCAGAGGACTTCAGGTGAGGTTGGACTCTGCTATACCAGTGAGACTGGGGCAAATTCCAGCTCTGGTCACTTTTATGGACACCCTTGTTCAAGCTCCTCCATGTCCCTGGAAGATCAGGGGTTTCCCATAACCATCTTGCAGCCTCAGTAGTAAAGGAAAAGCAAAATACCTGGAAAAACTCATCCCTGCAGGATGCAAATCCCCTTAAAGCTGGCGCTGGAGATGTGCAGGGCAATTATTGAACAGAAAACCCTTCTCCTTCCCCCTGGAGGTGCACAGTGGGTTTGCCACTGGCCGCTGGCTCCCAGGCAGCTGATCACAGCTCCTTGGTGCTGGGAAATCCAGCTTTCCCAGCGGAGCTGGCTCAGGCTGTCAGAGTCCGGGTCAATATATGGTAATGGGGCTTTGAAACGGCGCTGCTGCGGGAGGCGCTGCCGGGGACTCTGATTCACAGTTTCCCTCCGGTGCTTTCGCCCCGCGGCTCGTACAGAGAGGGAGAATAAAACAAATAAGAGTAGAAGGGAAGGGGAGGAAGGGATCTTAAATAATAAATGAGGGCTAAGTTTCCAAGGCTCCTGCGGGCAGCTGAGCTGAGCAGTGTGGAGGGCAGAGCAGTGTTCCCCCCTGCACCCCCTTTTGCAAACATCCCTGTGGCACTGGGAGCAGGATCTGCCCAGGGGAACAGCACCAGGCCAGCCCACCATTCGGACCAGTGCTGTCACCCCCCCTGTCCCCATGGGTGAAAACTGGAGGGTGTCACAGTCCTGAGAGGGATCCCCTCTAGCGCAGACTATAATTAGCATTACCTGAGAAGCTGCTAATGAGGTCTGGTGATGATCCAGTTTTGCCACCCCATGGAGACACCTCCACGGGGATGTGTCCTCAGCCTGGGCCAGGGGATGGTGCTGGTGTGGAAACACTGGGGGCTGTCACAGACCCAGCCAGGCTGGCATGAGTGGGGGAGCAGTGGGATCCCCAAAAATCAGTATAGGGGGAGAAGAGCATGCTGGGCTTTCTCCAGAGCCTTTCCCTCACACCTCTCTTGGTTTTGGGGCTGCAAGAAGAGTGGTGACCCCCC